GGTTTGCCATTTTCTATTGTCATAAATACAGTGCATGCATGGTATGTAGCGCTAATTATGGCATGATTAACACTCAAATTGCATGCAAAATGTAACATGTACCATAGAAAGTCATAGAAACAGTCTGGTCTCCTAACCATTCAAGAAAATGCTAGTAATCTATAAAAAGCTTCCCTACCTCTTCCCCTCCTCTCACAACATCAGGATTTTTCCTGCCTGAAAGTCAGAACTGAATTGTTAGTTATATTAGTCCAATTTCCTATCCTAACCATGTGCAAGAAATCAAAGGGTGTTGAGAACTACATAGTAATTTGTTTGTAAACTAAAGCATAGTCCTAACTGATTGCTTCCTCTGTCACCAAGGCCAAATACAAACATTGTTGGAGATGCACTTTCTAAAGGCCATACTTCCTAAAATATGCTCCTTTTCTCTGGTAACGTGTTAGTTCCATACTGAAATGATTATTCATACATTTCACATAATTTAAACTCTTTTTTTCAAGGAAAAAATGTATCTATAGTTGGCAAAAATTAAGATTAGTGCTAGGCAGGGAAAAGTGCTCTGGTCAGGATCTAACGTGAAAAAATCTTGCTTGAAATTTTGAGGGAGTAATGGATTCCATAATGAAAAGCTATCAAGTTTCTATAATAAGGAAACTTTAATAAGCCATCTAAAAACCTTTTTTTTAGCTTTCATGCAGACTTTTATGCTGAAGTATTTTGGGGGGTTTTCTCTTCCCCCCTCCTATAATGAATCTATTATTAGTTTGCTTCATGCGTTTATTTTCCACATTTTGCTATTTTTTTTTTTTTAAATAAATTTTCTGGACACCTCAATTTATTTGTCTGATAAAAATAAGCAATGAAGACAAAACTGTTGATTTACATATATAAGAATAAGATGATATAGCTGTTACCAAATTAAGAGGGTCCTATATTGGACATTCTGAGTTACAAATAAATTAGATCCCAATCCTGCAGATTGTGTATACGTAATTTTAAGTGTGGGCAGGTCCTTTGACTTCAGTGGAACAATACTCATACATGTATATGTACAGGATAATAGGCCTTGCCTTCAAAGTACTTTATAACAGCAACTGTTCTGTCTCTGTCCTGTGATCTGTTAAATGAGCTCCTAAGCAGGACTGGAAACTTGGGGAATCACCAAATAGGAAGCATTCTTGTGTAAACATAGGTATTAGCTATTTAGACTTTTGGGGTGAAGCAGCTTCATGGAAATTTAAGACAGGGAAGTGAAGTAAACAGCACACTAGTCTAGATATTGTTTTAGATGGGAAATCACTTAACTTACAGAAAAAAAAAATTATAAAGTGTGAATGACCTTTTCCAGGGGTTTTCTTGCTGCTTTAAAATATAGCTAGTAAATAACTTGGCCCCATAGTCTATGTTCAAAAAGAAAAGCAAGTTCTACTAAGCTGAAGCAGTGTCATGTTGTAACACCGCAGGAGTACAGTTAAGTATTATCGGCAGTCTCAGCCAGCCATTAGTATGTTATCTTGAGGGTCTACATCATTAGTTTAAATTAGATTCACTTAATTAGCCAGCTGGTACTCTCCTTGACAAACTGATAAACAAGCTGTGCTTTACAATTCCGAAATGTGAAATCAAGATACAATGATCCACACATTTTTTTTCTACTTTAAGGACCAAAATAGAAAAGTAATCTTCACTGTTGTTGTTTTTTTTTCCACTGTTGTTTTATCTCACCCAAAATATAAAATTGTCCTTTCAATTCTAATCAAACATGCTTTCCTCCCCACTTAACAATCACACAGATTTCTACCTCTGCTCATAGGTATACAGTTGTGTTAACAAGTAATTTCCAAGTAGTAAAGAAGTATATTCAAATGCCTGAAAAAATATTAGTGCTAAGAGGCACAGGATTCATTTGTGTTATACTGAGCTAACCTCTGTGACATGAGAATTTGATCACAAACCTTCAAAATTTTGAACAAAAATTCTTATATATATTCCACATTAATATATCAGAATTATATTAACTGTTGGGGGAAAGAGCTATTCTTTCTTTACACCCAAGTTCTCTTTCTAGCCTTGTAAACATTTAAGTAATCAATTATTTGGATATGTTATTAATGGAATGTGAACAGTTCTAATTTAGTTGTCATGTAGTCTAAGCTGATCCTGAATCTGCCAATACATTTATGGATTATGGTACATTTGTGGAATGGTAATATACATGAGCCCAATGACACTACATTGTTTTCTCAGCATAGTCTAGAAGTTTATTTTGAAACAAACAATTCAGATTGTAAAACACAGCTATAACTAACTCTTTCCTTTGAAAGTTAGCTTGTCATTCCTGTCTGAAGATGGACTGTAAGGTGCCAGTTGCTTTTCCACTTATTTGAGTCTTAAGGGAGATGCTGTTCCACCTTGTTCGTTTCTCTTAGAAACCATGAATACAAATAATGGGTGGGTTCTTCTCCTCCTCAGTGCTTTCCAGGACGTATGATGAAGGCATATTACAAACACAGTTATGTTAGTATCTCTTCAGAGTCTCCAGCAGGATAGAACAGAATAGCACTTTGGCATTTAACATCTTTATCAATGGTGTGGACATTGGTGTCAGAAGCAGACTGGCCAGGTTTGCTGACGACACCAAACTCTGGGGTAAAGCATCCACACCTGA